TATCTTATTTCAAATCCGACACATTATTTAAATAATTTGACGGGGTTTCCTGTGATGAAACTCAAAGACTTCAGGAATAAGTTTCGTTGTCGTTTTATTTTTGTTTATGTTTTTATTGCTCAATGAAATTCTGAAGAATATACTCAAAGTGCTTTTACGTGGAACAAATTCTTACAGCTTCAATCGTCGCTTAGGAATAAAAAAAACAATATTAAATGAAAAATATACAAAGAGAAATTTTGTCAATGCCTTTGGAATCGACGTTGGTTCAAAAACAAAACAGAAACCGGGTATGTACTTGATTTCAACTAACTCCTTCGAATGGTTTCAGTAGGTTTGGTAACAGGGTGTACATATACAGCCAAATTAAACATATACAGCTAACTTATATACATATACAGTCAAATTCTTATACAACTAATGGCATATCCGAACATAGCCAACTCAAAATACATATAGATGCGATGTATCTATTCAACCAATCTATTTAAATTCATGTATATTCGTTAGTTTGATAAAAGAGCGTTGCCAATAAAAAAATAAAAAATACCAACCCAGGAACTTGACTTAGCAGCAAAACTTTTCAAGTGCAGTTTTAGGTATTTTGTGGCGTCGGAAGCTGCCGCAAAACCATGGCGGGATTTCCAAACCATGGCCGCTATGGCCAGACCATGACATGTTAGCTGCCACAAACCAATGGCGAGATGCCGGTACCACGGCAGCAAATTGAAAACCAATGGCGGGTAAAATTTTGCTGCCGTAACCAAGGCTTGTCGGCTATAATAGCTGCCCCTGATGGTGACAAATATTGGGTATGTTGGAACATTTTTCTTATGGATACAGTGTTGATGGATTCGGTGTTAGATTTAAGGTTTAAGTAGATATAATTCCGAATGATAAACTCAAATCTGGTACATGACTTTGAGAATATACCGGTAATAGCGCCATAAAACCATGACAAGAGACGCCGCGTTTCGTTTGTGGAAGGAGCTGCCATGGAGTGGTAAGAACAGCGACTCAAACTTTCGGCTGCTAAAATGTCACAAGTATGGTGCAATTTAGGTTATTGAACTCGATTCAATAGCGTCTACATGTGGAAACAATAGTTTAAAAAATACACTTGGATCCTGTGGATGGTGACGTAACAGTAAGTATCGAAAATTTTGCCACGGTAAAGTGTATGAAGAGTTTGCCTGAGGTCAAAGGTCGGGCTAACGTGCATTGCGTTGGTTAGGTTGGTTTCGGAGATTAACTTGTGTTGACAGCTAAGTCAGGGTCTCATTTCAATTTCCTTACGAAAAACCTCACTGGGGCTTATTTTCAGGGGATGTCTTTTATTTTCATTTATCAAAATCAGGGTAGAGAGAAAATTACGAGATTTTCAACTAAATAAAACATAAAAGCCGATGTCCATTTACTTATAAATGACACGTTTTTATTTAAAACAAAAAAACTGCTAAACATAGATTATTCATGAACCATATCACCATACGCTGGAATGTATTGCAAGTCACTAAATTCACAAATTTAAGGTCGACTAGAGGTCTTATTTTCAGGGTAGGTCATATTTTTGGGAAAGCACGGTAAATAATCTCTTGTAAGCAATTTTAGTTAGATGGTTCATACCGTATTCAACGTCAATATCAGTAGTTTCAAAAGTCTAGAATTCCAAACTTTTTGAATTAGATATTTAACCTCGGGTGTAACTGGTGACAACTTTGGGTCCCCGGGACTTCCTAATAGTAAAACTGTGTAATTGTCATTTTCTCGTAATTTGCGATCTTTTTCACTGGTTGAAAAAATAAACTCGACCTTGTCCTATACAGAATTGCAGTCCTGCTGACGTGGAAACATGTCATTTTGAAACATCCAATGTCAGGAACTCTTTGGTATTAACAGCATTGTCACCACTTTAAAAATCAATAGCTCAAAAACATAAGACGAAAATACTTCGGATAAATTTGTCGCAATGTGTCAAATGTTTTGCGAACAATGGAAATGGCAACTGAGCTAACTATCTCTAGGTCTAGAAACTGATGCGTAGTGGCTGACTAGATATGCGTTTTTTCCGATTACTCATGTTTATCCAAACTGCAGGCATCGGAGATTGTTCGGGTGAAATGAAGGTAACGTAAACGGTTTTAAACCCCAACAGATCAAACACTGACACGTTCTTTGAAGATGTAATCATAGCTTATTTATGTCGACACAATCGAAGACAATAAGAATATAAATATCCCCAGGAATGTCCAGACCTGAAGTTTTTGAATCGTATCTGGTAATCTGAGAACAAAAATTGTCAGAATGACCATATTGGCGTGTGACAACTTTAAACTGAAGAGTTTTTTGTAGGGGATGGACACAATGTTTGAATGTACGTAACGTTGCTGGCATCATATGACCACCATGCGTTAATCTCCATAGGAAAGAAGAAAACAGAAACAAGAAAATTATATACTGAATATTAGGACTTTTTTGGGTACTCCCGTAGTGTGTGTACCAGGCTAGGGTTAGGCCATTATTTTATTCCGATTTTCCTTATTTTAGTGCTATTACGAGTTCGGGACTGTCTGTGTTAGCCAAGTGAATATACCCAGTGGTGGGATTCAGCCGGTTCGCACCGGTTCTATAGAATCGTCTCACGGAATTTTATGAGATCAGCGAACCGGTTAGCATTACTGGTTACTGTCGATGTTCTGAATGTAACAGAACCGGCTGAAAAATATGACTTTTGTGAAGGAACCGACTGACAAAAAATTGGAATCTCACCATTGAATATACCCCCTACCCATAGGTTTCAATCCCTTTACACAACTTGACGTAAAGTAGGCGAACAGAATTAGTTACCGCCATATCGGTACGCATACTTCTGGTGGGCCCTTTTTGCATACTGATTATTCGCTGTTTCATCGATGTGCATATACAAACCAAATTCGATAAATGAAGAATCTAACCAGTGGCGTAGCAAGACTCTCTGACCCTAAAAACTCTCGGACATAAGCTGAAACAACGCTTTTTTATTTCGTTAAAAAGCATAACATGTCGCTATTAAAAGGTAATGGTAACCTAAAATTTGCCGTTTATTTTAATCACTTTAATTTTTTTCATACGTGCTTCCTCTTCTGCCCTTTTTCTGCGTTTCTGTGCGCCACTGAGAGGATTTGCTTTCGACATCATTCTGACAGCCTTCGTAATTTTGCCGGTGCGATCAAACCACAAGACGCCGAAAATCGACGACTCCCTGGCATTGTTATTTGTTACGTAACAAAACGATTTGAGCAGAACTAACATCAACGTTATAAGATGTGCATTACTGGTTTTGCAATGCAGCTCTTGGTTTTGCGTCTTAAATTTCTAAATTCTAACCGCTTGAGCCCCTTTGCGCTGTGGGCCCTCCCGCGAACGCGGGGGTGGATGCTACGCCACTGAATCTAACTAATGTATTATTGCGATAATCAAATCCGTGAAAAAGTTATACACATGCAGCAACTTGAGAGCCATATATTTGTGCTTGTGGATCGGACATTGGAGACACGCACCGCCACTGCACGGTCCGTTATTCCTACAGTCTTGTTAATTATAAAGCGCATTGTTTTTTAAATAAATTCAAGTCTGTATTTTTTACAGCATTTGTTACATATATAAAACGTTAAAACAATACCCCTACAGTATTATATTTATAGCTTTATACTACTTGTTATTACGTATGACGTGAAATGCGCCGAAATAAATCGTGATGAAAGTAGAGAAGTGAGTTTCTCCCAAGTGTCTGATGACTTCCTCTGGCTTAACTACGTAAGCATATTAAGTGTATTGATCACGGCACGAAAACGCTTTCATATTCAATTGTCTTCAAATTACAAAGAACACGTTGACGATCGGTAGTTAAAGTATAATCTAAAAATAAGTAATTTGACAAAAAAAGGAATTGCTGATTGCAATAAAGACGTGTGGTTAATCTATATTACTAATGACCATTAATAAAACAGAAGATGGTATATAGTGCCATGCTTGAACATTCATAAAAATCAAGTTTATGCCCGATTTCCATAATTATGTAAACGAGGTCTCCAATAGCCAGGTGCTCTTTGGGTACTTTGCATTTAAATTTGGTAACTCCCGAAGTATGCGAACCAAGATGGCGTACACCGGAACATAGTATGTGTATTGTGTACCAGGTTAGGGTGCGGCCATAATTTTGTTCCAATTTTCCATATTTTAGCTCTATTACGAGTTCGAGGACTAGCCAAGTGACTCCAGTAGTATTTGTACCTGAAATTATGGTCTAACCCTAACTTAGTACACATACTACGTTCAGGTGTCCGCCATCTTGGTTCACATACTTCGGGAGTACTCAAATTTGTAATTGAAACATAAACACGCATACTTATGTGGATGTAAAATCACTATAAATTCAATAGTATGGGTAACAGATTGATTATACAGAAAATTGTCTTTTTATTAAAAAAAAAAGCATATTGAATAAATTATCATACCGTCCATGCCTTGTAAATATTTTTACCCAAGCAAAATGTTTTTTTTTGAGGGGGGTTTTAAAATTAAAAAAAAAGAATTAAATATGATGGGTATCACTGATTATACAGCAGATTGTCTCTATATTATAATAATTCATACTTAATTCGTGATATCGTTGTTGCTTTGTAAAACCCAAGTATTTGCAATGAAAAATGTTTTACTCAGTACGTGTTGACGTCACAATACAAAATAATCTGGTCAGCGAAACTGAGTCATAATAAGCACACGCTACGCATTTTTCTGAAGCAGAAAACTTAATATATATTCAGATTATGACTCCACTTGAAAAACCTGGTTATAAGGCCTCTTTTGGTATATAAGTAGCAAGAAGGGTCGGGACTTCGTTGATGTCAGTCGGAGTCGCTATATATACCTGGTGACTTGCAGTCGGAATGCTTCCTCGGTATATAAATAAGAGTTAGGATCGTTGAAAGTTGGGACTTCATTGATGTTAGTCGGACACGCGAATCTGCTATACCTGATGATTTACAGTCAAAATACGATTTACATATGCAAAAATATCCTCATTATAGGCTTTTTATTGTATATTATTAGGAAATATTTTTTACAATTTTATAAAATATTTTATAAATTACGATTCATCAAGAAAAAAATGAATGATGACATTTTAAAATGGGCACAATGGGATTCAAAGTGGAACGACAGTTTTGGTGAAAATGAGATACCTGTAAGTACTTTGGATTACTAGTTAGGTCTCTCCTTTAAAAAATTTCACAAATAAATATTCCCATCGGTATTTTCAGTATAATGAAATTAGGTAACATTAAAGGGTACTCCCGAAGTATGTGAACCAAGATGACGGATATTGGAACGTAGTATGTGTATCAGGTTACGGTTAGGCCTTAATTTTATTCCAATTTTCCTTTATTTAATTCAATTATGAGTTCGGGGACTAGCCAAGTGACTCCAGTAGTATTTTTACCTGAAATTATGATCTAACCCTAACCTGGTACACATACTATGTTCCGGTGTCCACCATCTTGGTTCACATACTTCGGGAGTACCAATTAAAGTGCTATTTTGCACAATTTAAAAATTTGTTCATAAGTAGACCCACGCATCATCGCCTGAAGATATGTTATACGTCTAATATCAGGGACTTTCCACTATTTTGGAAATACGTCATATTTTGGACATCGTTATAATATATTTATTCGTGATACAAGTATTGAACATACTTTGTTTTAGATCGTACATAAATGGCCAATTGTGTTGAAAGTAAATATCATCAGCGGGTCGGACATTAACAGAAACAGTATCTTAGACCATGGTAAGTGATTCTATTCCAATATTTATAATTATACATATTTGTATTCGAATATAACATTTTCTCTGTAATTTGTTGTTCCATTACTTATACTATATTTATTTGTTGTGTTTCATATATTTTTCTGTCACCATTTTTCAACTTGAAAAAAAAAGAATTTATAGAATTACATTCCAATTAATTACTTCTAGTCTATCTTAAGAATTAAGTAAAGAGCTTTATTGAAACGTTTGTCTAATTCTAATAACATTCGGTATATTTTTATCTGCTATAAAGTAACTTATTTCATATATTTGCACAACTTGGGTATTTGACACACAGGCATATTTAGGTCTCGAATCAATGTGAAAGAAAAGCTGTGTGAAACTGAAAATGACGATTTAACAAATTTCATCACTTTGTCAAGAGCGAATAATCCCATTGCGACAAATTTGCCCAATTTAACAATTTTCAATTGAAGTTTTAATAAATGTCTTTGATATAAAGCTTAATGACTGCTGGGATTTATAAATTTAGTTTTATTTTGCCTACAGTTGATCTCCCAAATCCGCAAATCGAAGTCGAATATAAAACAGCAAAAGGAAAAAAGAAATTTCAAACAGATTCAATAATTGATACCGTATTTCCAGTTTGGAATGAAAAATTTAGATTCGTATTGCCAGATGAGCAAGAGCATGACGATGTGTTGAAGGTACGAGAAAGGATAATGTATATATATATATACAACTGATATAGTTGGTAATTTTCTCTTAGTATTAGGTATTAAGAATGGGGATTCTTTTTTGCAAAGCCCCAGCCTTTAATGCAAAAATGTGAGATTTGAGAAAAATAAGACATTTTTTATTTAAAATAAAAGTTAATCGACAACCGATATGATTGTATTATCGAAATCGCGTCGTCCAAACAAGTCTTCATAAAACGTCTACAATGAAAACTTTGAGCACTTATTTGACGTCGTTGTACCACAATCATTCCCGTTACCAAATCAGTTTTTCATAGTTTTCGTTCTCAGAAATTTCCAATAAATCATTATATATAGCAAAAAAGTTTTATTTATAAATTGTAAAAATCCCGTATTCGCGCAAAAAATGATACAAAAACCTAAAACGATTAAGATTTCCATTTGCATGGCAATGTTAAATTCATTATCTTTTTCAGTTTCGCCTGTTTGTTGAAGATTGGTACAACTCTCACGTGTGTATTGGCGAAGCTGAATTCAATCCGAGGACATTAAAAGTTGGACAAAACTTCGAAGATGAAATTTCTTTTGGCAAAGTAAGTTGAAACTGGTGATATATGTGTAACAAAATGTCCGATTCAGCGCACATATCATTTGCCATCGCTCTTCTGATTACCCTTCTCAATGTTGCAGTTTTAAATCTCGTGTGGAAAAACTGGAGGATTTTTGGAAACCTCGTCGTTGAAAGTTGGTGCTTCCTTTACCAACATCGTCAGTAATTTGGAATGAATTTAATGCCAAACTGCTTTCATGTCCATCTAGACTAGTAACCTTATTGTAATCACGCGATCGACTCGTCAATATTAAACATCTTGTACATATTTTGTCACAAAAACTGTTAAACTATGGCTTGCTTGCCGGTTTAGTGAATATTTATTGTTGGATTTGATAATTGTTACTGATATAAATTTATTATTTATTTAACAGGCTGGCAAAATAAAAGTAAAGATTACAAAGAAACAAAAGTAAGTTATGTTAACTAATTATATATGAAAATGTCTCCAATCAGCTATAAACGGGTATATGTTGTTGCACTACATTTACTAGACCTGCCCTGCATTCAACATAATCAAGTCAACAAAGTCAGTTTATTAGCAATTTCAATGAACCAAGTTTTTATTCCTCATATTATTCATAGATCACATATCCGACTCTCTCTTGCCCTGAACGACAAGGAAATGGAATTTCGAAGAAAACGCGTCCCCAGGGTCATGGCGGCAATGCAACAGGCGCTAGGACATGGGAGCCCACAGAATATATTTGAGGTATGGCACACATCATGATGAGGTTCTTTGATAGGCGTAACATACTTATTCTGGATAATAATAAATCGATGAATGGCTTGTTTTTGCAGACTCCCATTATGTCAATTGTGGGGTCAGGGGGTGGAATTCGCGCAATGACGGCAATGTGTGGTGTCATGGATGGTTTGAGTGAAATTGGATTACAGGACTGTATGACCTATGCATTTGGAACATCTGGCTCTGCTTGGTAATTTTTACTCTTTTAAAAGGCTAGTTGAATTTGAAACAGTACGGTATTCAGATTAATGACGTACGTTCAACTCTGCCATTCACAAAAAATTCCTTGATAACTGACTTTTGAAACAAAAACTGTTGCTTGAAAACGAATACATATGTTAATTTTCTGTAAATCACTGTCACCAGGTATTTTACTGGTCTTTATACGAGACAAGCATTTGAAGAGAATAAAATGGAAAGTTATCATTCGTGGCTGAGAGAATCATTTCAAACTTCTGGCTACTGGGAAATGATAAAACTACCCAACATGATAAAAGGCCTGTAAGTAAAACTTATTTAATCAAGAATTCAAGAGTGCTAGATTAATTGGTCGTATAAACTTTTTTCTCAGAACGGGTATCCTTCAATATATTTATATTTTTTGAACAATGTTATTATTCAACGTGAGGTTTTTTGCAATAAGATTTTAAATAATTTATCACGGACCTATTCAGTATGGATTCAGTTTCTAGATTTTGAAAATTTGTTTATAATGAACTACATCAAAAAGTAGTTAGCGAAAAGTATATTTTGATCTGTTTTTTTCAGAAATATGTACAAGAAAAAGACGAAAGTGGGCCAACCTTTTACGTTCGTTGATTATTATGGAATATGCGCCACAAACAAAGTCATCGGAAAAGAGGTTTGGGTTTATGATATTAATCCTCCGTTCATAACGACTTGGGAAACACACTGATCTGAAACATTTTCCGTTAAACACCCCCCCCCCCTCTCCCTCCCACGAACTCTTTTGTCCTTTCTTACTATGTATAAAAAGTAATTACATATTTTATGGATACTTAGCTCAGTTGCAATTGCTATAAGTCGCACTTTTGTACAGCTTGTACAGTTAATTAAATTGTTGCAATATATAGTATCCAATGCTAGTGAGCATCACCGTTGGTAAAAATGCCAAACACACTGGCACCAACAAGTTGTCATACCACCCGTTACAAAATTATTATGAAGTAGTATGGTAGATTATATACAATTCTATTATCTTACAGTATTCAAAATACAAACTCTCTGACATAAGAAATTACGTCGAAACAGCTGAGGTTCCGTATCCAATACTAAACACAAGTCAAGTGCAAGATTTTCTGGATGTCAAAACATATAGAGGTATGCATGAAACGATAAATATTTTTTCCATTCCTGCAGCCAACGAGAAAAACATGAAATTAATGTTGTTCAATAATTCCAGCGGACTGTACGTTTTCTGCTTACGAATGTGAGTTTCCACAATATGGAATGAATATTAATATGCAAAGATTGAACAGCGAATTCTATTCCGGTGTAATGGAAAGAAACTTGCCGGAGCCGGATTTATCTTTCATCATAGGAACATTAGGGAGCGCTTTCGGACTCCGCTTAAACCGGATTTTGGGACTTGAATCCTACGAAGATATGGACAACAGTGAGATTGCAATACTAATATAAAGCTTTCATAGTCATTTATCAGTGTAATAGCTTATAGATTGGGGAATATCGACTGAGTAATATTAAGTTTACAGTGAGGTACTGGATGGTTCTCTGATAATCCGAAAATAAACCTACCTGAACCAAGTTTTATGATGCCAATCACGTTATAACGTTCTGTAACGTATGACGCGTAATATAAAGTAGAATTAATACTTAATAACAGGGCTCACCAAATTTGGCATGTCTTGTTTTTTTCAATCAGTAATAGACAAAAGAGGGAAATGACGCACATTGAACAAACGTGAATTACGTTATCAAGTTTCAATATAATCTTTAAAATTCCAAACACATCGCTGAATGTTGTACAGTATTCTCAGTCTTTGCTGTCATTTCATACCGGTAACGGATGTCCTGTCAGTTATTATTCATAATGCCCTTTCAAAATAAAGCTAAGTCATGCAATTTACATTCACCAAGCAAGAGGTTTTATATGATGTTGCCAAGATGGCCATACCAATCGCTCAAAACTTCCGAATTTGGCCTTGTTAACTTATACTTTCAACTATTTTGACAAGTTGAGTACGGCGAATGTTTATTATAATTGCATTAGGGTCTCAAACTCAAACAAAAAAGTAAAATCTCGTTTTCACAGTGCTGGAAAATTTTCTTGACGACGTATCAGAAACAATAGGAATCGATTCTTCAACATCATCGGAAGCAAAGTCCAAATGGGAAGAATTGAAAGCATGGTTGAGGTAAAACAATGAATTCAATTACCACACATTTTATATATCATTTGCACGCCGGATTAATTGACTGATTTATATATTTCTTTACCAGCTCTTTGCCCCAGTTTATTGGTCGAAACAGGATAATCGAAAGAACCGGGAAAATTTTAAACGTTGCAAGGGGATTTGAAAATATGAAACGATTTCGAATTAATCCGAAGGCTGGTGATTCAGGAGGTAAACATGATTGTCTTTTTATAGGATATGATTTACTTATCTATCCCGGATGAAAGCCGATAAGACGGCTTACTCATATGGCGAACCACGGCCACTCGTCCGGTTATCACTCAATGTCGGGTGTCAGTTGTTTGTTTTCGGATGTATGGACTTGATGGTAGAGGAAGCCGTAACCGACCAGCGGTTAGGTGAACTACCTTGGGAGTCCAACAATCCTCTCACACATAAATATCCTCGTATGGGATTCGAACCTGCGACGCAGATTTATCAGAGGTGCGGTGGCGGACGTATTCCTAACGCTTAGCACGATGCGCCACACCGCCGTCATACATTTCCATTTCAACGATAGCACTTCAATATCCAATATTACATTTGATTCAATTCCATTTATGTCGTTTGTATGTAGAATAGACCATTAGTTTACAGTTTACTATTTTTGAGTTACTCTCCATATTTAGAGAATGAATTCATATTTTTGAATACAACGAAATATTAAATGTAACCAAATTGTGATTGTCTTTTGCACAGAAATCGTTGACGGCTTTGAAGAAGACGGAGAGATTTTGGATCTTGTTGATGGAGGTTAGTTTAATTTTCTTCTTTCTACAAAACTAATAATAAACTATATAACTCAGGAATTGGTGCGTATCCATGTGTTTGTAAACTTACACTTTTTCGCATTTTTTTTATCAATAATTTTTCGGGTTGGCAATTAGGAGGTCACAAATAAAACAGTCTTAAAAAAGCAATTCAATTCTCAGTTCTGCATATAAAATTTTAAGAGATCGGCTGTTGGCATTCACTGTAGTTATGTCCGCGCATGCAATTGTTTCACTTTTTCTCAGGAATTTTATGCAACGTCGCCATTGATGCAGCTTTGAGACCGCAACGCAGAAACGATATTCTATTCATCGCTGACCTTACTTCATATGACGCTGATGTCGGTTTCGGAGTGAGTAAAACTTGGACTTTGGAAATATAAAACTTAAGTATCGTGACAATAGATTATAAATAGAAAAAAAAATTTCTGTTCATTACAGACTTTAGAGGCTTCAATACGATTAGCGAAGAAGGGCGGATATAAATTTCCACCGATTGACTTGAAGAAAATTAAGAAACAAGATACGAAGGAATTCTACATTTTTGAAGATCCAAACGACCCAGAATGCCCACTTGTGTTTTGGTTCTTGATGTCAACTAGGAAATTTTGGAAAGTTCGCGATTACATTCCCAGAAACGCGGATGGTTAGTTCTTCTTATCTGCTTCAAAATTATTGTAGCCTATGCCCTTTTTCCATGGTCTGCTTGTCGAACGTCGTACATTTGAACCAGTACAATTTCAGACATAACTTCAACGTATTATACGATCGTATATTTTAGTTCTACAAAGCATTCCCGATGATAAAAGATTCACGGATTTTCATGTATATTCATCTGACGCTTACAACACAATGGATCTAAAATATACAAATTTGGAATTTGATAGACTTCGAGAACTCATGACTTACAATGTTACAATGAATGGGGAGGTGAGTTGCTTATATTTGAATTGAATTTTAGAATAATTTAATGCCTATTTGATTCAGAGTAAAGACGTTGTTAGTACGATTACCTTATTGCAATACCACGTAGGCTAGGGCTGTTCCCCGTCGATACTTCAAATATTGCATTAGTATATTTTGGAACAAGGTGTGCATTGTGCAACTTGCGGCCGGCGGGTCAAATGCGGCCCACGAGAAAAAATTGTGAGGCCCACGGAGAAACGACAATTTTGAATGGTGTGTGACCGCGAAACGAGTTTTTAATGTTTTTTAATCTGGTACGTGCGAGAAATTACAATCCCTTTGCCTTGTAAAGCCCATACCTGAGTACAATTTATTATCTATGCATATGACGTTACATTGTCCTAACAGCTAGCTTGTGCGAAGCGAACAATGCATGTTATGTGCTTGCAACTAAAGCCAAGACTAAATGAAGATGCGGCCCGCGGTTTTACCCAATTATTTGTATCTGGCCTTCCTGTATTAAAGGTTGCACACCCCTGTTTTAGATAATATTCAATCGGCATGCGAAAATCATGTACAACACAACATTATTTTGGAAGAAATAAATCATTGAAAGCTATCGCAGTAATTTTTTTCAACCTCACTGCTCAGCTAGTTTATGCTTATGTTAACACAATAAATATGTATGATTTCTGTCTGTTTTTTTTTCTCCAGAAAATCAAGCAGAAGATCCGAGAAAAAATTGCAATGAAGCGAAGGTTAAACGCGGCCGCGGTATCGTAGGTTTCAATTTACGTAAAAAATATTGCGTAACATTCTTCATTTCGGTTATTTGTAAATTCATTTCAAAAATTTGTATATTTTACGCATTTCAAACAAGTGTCAAAATGTCATGACCAACGAGTTACTGTAGAATTTCTAATATATATCATTTTTTTTATAAAATTTCTGAATCCTCATGCACATATATACGATATCTCTTTATTTATCCGATAGAATGAAATAATATCATGACTAGTAGGCAAGATTTTCACATTTGAATAAAGCAATATCATTGACGATTACTTTTCGAGTTGTGACTGAAATGGGCCACACACTCAATTCTAGAACAATATTTTTTCGAGATACTTTTCAGTGTGATTGATTGTTTCTTTGTAGGAAAACAAACAAATATCTATCTCAAAAACTACCTCGATAGTTTAGCTTTGACAAGAATATTTATGAGTTTACTTCTTTTTCTAATGGGATTTCTTTAAATTATTTTTGAATTTTTTTTTATATATATATATATAATTGAGAATAACTTAAAATGTTTAAAAGCTATAATAAAGTGAAACAAATAGCCGGAAACCAAAGTTAGGTTGTGAGCACCTAATATAAGGAAAGGTACACGAAACCTCGCTGTGTACCGAGTCACACACGTGTTCATCAGTAGATTTAAACATAAGGGAAGCCCCGATACGAAGAAATACTTTTCCCGAGGTGGAGAGAGTTGATAATTATTAATTACCATCACTTTTCGTCCGAATATGCTTTGAAATTGCTTTCACTCTTAGCCTAGCGCATATTATTACGCGCGAAAAACTTTCGCTACGACGGAACTGTTCGCTCTGTATGCCCAGTCCACGATGGATAAGCAGTTAATTACTTAACGAGAATATCAGTCAGAGACCGAAGACTTATCGATCGAAAGTCGGGGGCTCCCTCACCTTGTGTCCCATCACTAATTAATTAATAACTCGCTAATTATACGGCATAATTCGCCCAGAATCAATAGGCTTTTGGTCCGAGATATAATGAATGCACTTGCAAAATCTGGAGCAGATTCAATCTCGCTTTCGTGAGATATGGCGTGCATCTAACAGATATACAAATACCTATCAACATACTTACCGATTAAAATCGATAAGTAACAATACAGGTATGAATTAGAATACACAGTGTTGCCCACAAATCTCGAGGCGCGAATCGAGGGTCATTTCAGAATGGAGTCCCAGCCCTTTTGAGTTTCATAAACACCAGCAAATAATCACTATGCAAATTGAAAAACTGAAAAACCGGCTATTTCTCCACCCGACATTGGCAATAGTCCATGTGATATGCCGTGGTTTCACCCCCGGGAAATATAAACACCCTATGCTCTTGTCTCGACATTCACCTCGGCACATCATTTCGAATTAATGTTAGCAAATTTTAATGGCACATCATTTCGAATTAATGTTAGCGAATTTTAATTACAACCTTAATCGACGTGATGAATCGTATTCCAACAAATTGATTTCTGTTACTAGGACTAACATGAAATTTTCTTTCGGTTACAAGACAAATATCTCTGAAGATTAGTCAGAATCATTCTGTTCAGATGATTCGATTCACTTGGATATTTCAAAACGGGTGACGGCCAGCACTGATAAAAACCAATGGCGTTTGCATGGCCAATACATTGAATCCACATGTTACATGAATTGAAATTTTAGTGATTAAAAGCAGCTAAACTGTTCTTTCAAACAAATTGACTAACAAGAAAGATAAAATTCATCAATCATCTCGACTGGATGGAGGATTGGAAATTGGAAAAATTGCAACAATCACTGATCAAGAAAATAAAAAACAAACCTAATCAATACCTGGATTGCAAACATTCATATTGATTTATGACGATCTTTAAACTCGCATAAACACAGATCGAAAATAAAGCAAAGAGAAAATAGAAATACCAATTTTTGAAGGTTAACGAAAAAAAAATGACAAAATTGGCAATATTATTTACCATTGTAAAGATTTAGAAAAAAAATAATATAATGGATGATAAATGGACTAGATTCTGTGATAGCTACAAATAATAGTATGGAATAGGCAATATAGTACTGAATGTTTAATTGAGGACACAATATAATAAATTCAAAAGGATTGACATTTCTGCTGCATTTTAAAGGAAGTAATTGGCAAGTATTTATCAAATTATTACAATATGAATTATAAAAATATCAGTAACTTCACAGTAAGTTGAATCTTCATGATATACCAAACTAAATTTTGGAACAAATCCTTAACATTAGTTCAAGGAAAAGTAAGACATTACAAAACAATGATTTCACTGAACCAGAGCAATGCAAAATAAAGTGCATTGAGTTGAACAATTTCAATGAATCGTGTGGAATATTTTCAGATAAATCCAATTCTCAGGTCACCGGGCTTTCAAACAAGAAGATGTCAGTCTACTCAAGTTAAAACCTCCATAGAAGGACTGTGTGAATTACAAATACAGCTTAAATCAGAATTACCTGCTAGTAATAACTGGTTTTGCAAGTTAGAAACTATGCCAGCGACCATCAAATTTGCACGACAGAATTCTACAGAAAATCCCAACTCCAAAAAAAGAATCACTGAAGATTGCACGTTTTAGTACGCATAGTCTAAAATTGATACTGCAAAAAATGACAATGTTAACAATATGACATACTATTCATAAACAAATGGTTTTTACAACTTTAAATTCTGGCAGGATTTTCCAGTCCAGCCATTGTAGCACTGACAAATGGTTGAATACTTAGAAGACGCACTACCAACTCTAAGCAAATCGATGACTTTACCACCAAACTCTTTAATTCTGAGAATCTCATCAGTAGCTTCAGCAACTGTCAGATACGATGACTTCAAGCTGTTTGCATCAGGAAAATGAGACAATACACAACGCCCATGCCCACTACAGTAATCATAACTGCACAATGTAGCAGCATCCGATGTTGCTTTGACGTATGGTCCCAATGTTGTAGAAATATAATTGGACAAATTTTGACACCTCTCTACAGAATTGGCAACATTGTGATCTGCCCAAATAACCATCCCCGATGATCCAAGCAAAGATGCGACACCTATAGAATCTCTCAGATCAAATAAGCTGACAAACTCTGGTACTTTCCTGTAAGTCAATAAATGGTATGCAAAGACAGGAATACTGAAATCACTGGGCCTATCGGAATCAACTCTCATTGCTTCTAATATTCGATAAGCGACATAATATATAGCAGATGTGTGATTACTGAACCATTCACCTAAATACACAGATGGATATAGTGCATTGCTGTCATCGAATACCCACTGAATCTGGTCATTACGCTTGAGAACTTGATCGGTACATTTGAAACTGTCTTTCGTTCCATTTTTATTATAGTTGGCGCAATCAGGGTATAAATAAAATCCCCACAGAGCTTTTGGCCTCAACAATTTTCCCAAAGCCAGAGTGAACTCCATTATCGATTTAGTTCCAGATTCGTATTCCAGTTTGGCTTGCGCTAAGATTTTATCTCGAGTCCAATCTGGATGATCCTTCTGAACTTTTTCAACTGATTTATTCTGATATATCAAGCCTGCACCCCATCCCTCAAGGACCCAAAGTGGTCGCCATGCTTCCCAATCAATAACCGCCAATCCTTGGAAATCATGTTCAGGTATTGATGATACTATATCCTCTGCTGCTTTTTTCAAATGTGCATATAAGTCTGCAAGCTGTGGAAGACCTCCATTAACGGCATTCCCCTCAGAATCATAGTATGGAAATAATCCAAGTTGGTCTGCATAAAATATGGTCAATGTGGTACCTCTCCAACTTTTATCTGGATTATGAACAATGTCAAAATCACTCAAGTCGAGAGGAACACCATATATTTCTTCGCATTGTTCACTAGCAACATTCCACGTGACGACAAATGGCTTGTTGGTCAATGGAGGACTCAAAATATTTTGCTTTATTGCAATCCTATTACAATGAATTAAAGAACAAGCAAATATGCTGAGTAAACCCAACACAGAATGCATGTTTACAGCTTGATCAAAGAGAATGTAGCCTATAGAAAATGACAATTAGCATTAAATGAAATACAAAATAGGCTAATTTACAGAGTGTGTTTTCAATTAACCTAATACTTTTGGGTGAGCGAACATGTACCACTTCTGTTGACAACACCTTTCAATCTAAAATCTGTACGTTTTAAACCCTATCGTTTTGTTCGCTTTATCAATTCTGTAATCAGTTTTATTGCTTTTGTTTTTATCAATTATTTTTTTTGTCTTTTATGGTTAAGATAGGATTTACGTATTTATCCCGTGGGAGAGGAAAGTGATAAGACGGCTTAACCATATGGCGAACCACGGCCTCTCGTCCGGTTACCAGTACCATTCCATGTCGGGTATGGGATTATTTAGTCTTTTGTTTTCGGAAGCATGGACTTGATGGCTATGGAGTCAAAATAAATTTGTAGGTACTGACTGATGTTATATGCATATTGTATTTTTATCAAGTACCGGTATGGTACCGTAACTTATGCTGATGACTGGACAAAGACTGAAAGACAAAGGACTGGACAAAGACTATTCTCACACAGTCATACAAAAATCTAACTTCATTCAGATAATTCCGCTGCAGGCCCAAAGGTAAGACCCATTACAGCATGGCCTAACATTGTTTAGGTTTAGGGAGTGTCAACTAACACTGTAACAACATCAGAACATGGAGCCAAAAGTAAAATTTCAGGGTATTTCTGTATTACAGTATTAAGAGTTACGGTACCGTACGGTATATACGTTAATAAAGGTATACGGTACATTTGGTGCCAATTTACAGATTTATGATCAACAAGAGGTTTCCAATAAGCAACAAGAAATGACGCGGCCGTATTACAGTATTAAAAAATCGGGTAATAACTAGGGGTTGGGCCGGGATTCGGATCCGGACTCGGATTCGAGTCGAATCCAGGCATTTTTTAGACTCCGATTCGATTTCGAGTCTCCGTCATTTTTACCGAGTCTATACTCAATTCTGTTTTTACAAATTTACGTCTATATTTGTACTTTTGTCTTTATATATCTCACTACATACCTTAACTAGTTAAAATTCAAGATTGGATCTGTAACAATATCCCTCGTGTGTATTATAAACAGTCCTAATAAAAGCGACGACAGATATCCAGGGGAAGGTCGCTGCGCTACCCGCGAGGGGAAATGTATGGAAATATTTTTAGTAAATTAAGAAGCATATGTTTGTTTGGAGTTTTTTGGAGGACCCGGGTCGTTGCGCCGGACGAATGACGGAAATTCGTCCGGCGCTGTGCCCCCGACTACTCTAGTCCATTAAGAAGTTCAAATACCCTGTAATAAACTGATCACCCCTAACCGGAGTCGAATTTTTCCAATTTTAAGGTCCGTGATCACTCAACCGTGACGAATTTTTTTTGACATAAACTAGACCTCAACTACCTTGTATGACCCGAATATGGCACCTCTACCTTCTACCATTCTCGAGATATAACGTGAAATCACTGGAGCGTGACTGAGGAGATGAAGAAATAAAATTTCTTTCAAAATAGATTCAAATAATTTTTCTAAACATGCCCATGCCTTTACTTTCTCAACAGGTCCTTTCAGAGGCCTGCAATAAGCCAAAATCACTAGACCATGACTGGGGAGTGAGAGAAAAAAAATTTCTTGAAAAAGGCATTAAACTAAATTTTCCCAACATATCTATCTATTTTATTTCTCGATAGCTTCATTTTTAGGTGCGCAACCTTCTTACGCCACTGGAGGGCGATTGGGAGGGGGAACTCCCAAGATTCAGGTGGTGAAATATTCTATATATTAGTCCCTTTGAGATTTAAGCATCACTTTGCCCAAAAACCAATTCCAAGTGCTCCTAATAGCCCAAAAACCATATTATCTAAGTGGGCGTGGCTTTCCACACGTTTTCTCACCACTGAGGGGGCGGTGGCAGTGCCCCCACCCCAAATTGCACTTGGAAAAAATCCCAATACTCGGGCAAACGCTTTCTGGCCCCGGAAACGCAGCTAAACGGCTTCTAAACCCCAAAATCACTCTTGCGAGACTTGATTGACAGCCTGAAATAATTAATGTCACGCAACCTTAAATTTGGGCCACCAAAAGCCCGTTTTGGCCCACTTCCTTTGGCCCGATCGTTCTGAAAAATTTTATTTGCTATTTTGGTAACTGCCCCCTACTACATGCCAAGTTTCGTCCCGATCGGCCCGCCAGTTTTCTGGGAAATGGTAACTCGATGGGTCTTAGCCAAGAGACTTCGTCACATTATTTTTGCCCTACGCGCAAAGTCTTTTGACCATTACTGTGCATACGCACTAAAGTGCTACACTGTTGCCTGACCATCCAGGGACGGTCGCTGCGCTACCCGCGAGGGGAAATGTAAGGGAGATATTTGAGTATAAACGAGCGTATGTTTCATTATGAGTTTGTTGGATGCACCAGGGTCGTTGCGCCGGACGAATGGCGGAAATTCGTCCGGCGCGTAGCCCCCAGCCACTTTAGTTCATTCAGTAGTTTGAATAACACGTCATAAACTTATCACTCTTGATGGATGTCGATTTTTATCAATTTTAAGGTCCGTGATCACTCGACCGTGACGAAATTTTATAGGCATAAACTTTACTCCAACTACCTTGTATAACCCAAATATGAGACCCCTGTCTATTACCGTTCTCGAGATATGGCAGAAAATCACTGGACCGTTACTGAAGGCTACTAGAAAAAAAATTTTGCTGATACGTGATTGGAATGATTTTTCTGATCATGCCCATGCCTTTAGATTCTTGATAAGACCTCTCTGAAGCCGGCAAAAGGCGAAAATCACTAGACCGTGACGGAGGCACGGGAGCAAAAAAATTTCTTGAAAAAAGTATTAAGCTAAACTTTCTCAACCTACCTATGTATTTTTTTTTCTCAATATCTCAATTCTTGAGCGCAACATTCCGAACTCACTGGACCGTTACGGGGACGGGGAATCCCCAAAGTTCGGGTGGTGATATATTCTATTAATTAGTCCCTTCGATATTTGTGCATCGCTTTGCCCGAAAACCGATTCCAAGTGCTCCTATTCGCCCAAAAACCATATTACCTAAGTGGGCGTGGCTTTCTACACGTTTTTTCGCCACTGGGGGGGCGGGGGCACATCCCCCACCCCCAAACATGTCTGGATAAATTCCCAATGCTCTGGCAAACCCTTTCCCGGCCCGGAAACGCAGCCAAAGGGCTTCTAAACCCCAAAATCATACTAGCGTGACTTGATTGGCAGCTTATTGACCAATAACAAGCCCCGTGCCACTAAAAACCCGTTTTGGCCCACTTCCTTTGGCCCGATCGCTCCCAAAAATTTTCTGTGTCCGTTTGGTAACTGTCCCCCGCTACATGCCAAATTTTGTCTCGATCCGCCCGCCAGTTGTCTGGGAAATGGTAACTCGAGTGGTCTGCCCTACATATCTTCGACTAGCCCTTTCCGACTTACGCGCAAAGATTTCTGACCATTACTGTGCATACGCACTAAAGTGCTCTGTGTTGCCTGAGCATCCAGATAATATAACGCAAGTTTAAAACTAATGATCGCTTATAACAATGATGTTGCGCCAGTCGCTTTCAAACTATCTATCCCTTTTGGTATAAATGTGGTACACAATAAAATATGTGTTAGCGCAATATTTTTGAGTTTTTGATTTGCGTAAAATTGAAACGTGCTCTGGATCAACCCAATGGAGAATCTCATCAATACAACTTTCAAATCGAGTTTATTACGTGCAATCCTTTCTCTAAATAGGGAGCAATGGAAAGCATGGAGAGTTTTAGAACGTTTACATGAATTACTAAATTGCAAGCAGATGTACCAGATTGTATTGACGACGAGTGGCATTTCTCTTCCATTTGCGTACGTGACATAGTAACAACTAGTACGTGACATAGTAACAACTAGGAATATCTGGAATTACGGGAAAGCATTGTAGTCAAAAGTTTGTTATTTTTCATATTGACATGCAAGAATTTCTGAATAGACGCCCAGAATTTGCGCAAGATGGTGGGTTGGAAATGCAGTTCACAGCCAAGGCGCACATTGACGTTTACGTTTGTATTATGACCATCGCCGGATTACCCATTAAACAATATAAGCACGTGCTTAGGGCACCATGCATCATATTAACCATCTTTATTAAAAATAACACTGAAACTTAATTGTTGGACACGAAAAGTTTTTGCGGTTTTTCAACCCAGCAACCTTGAACCATTCTGAGGTAGACTACTAGGTACCGGTAAAATTTCAAACTACAGTTGTGACTTGTATCCTTCAGTATTTCGATTCACGTTGAGACTGGAGACATGAATCTTTACTGTCACACTCCCTCAGGATTGAAGCTCAACCGATATATCGGCCCGATATTGCGTGTTTGCCGATATGAATATAACGGGTAAAAAACCTAAAAATGTTCGTAAAAGTTGTTTTATTTACTGTTAGTTGTGATTATTTTCAATGGATAATACACTTATGTGGTTTATCGGTTTTTATAATTAAATTACACATGAGAGGGCACTAAATTCTTCAGTGCTTGGGGCACCAAAGGCGCTTAATCCGCCCCTGATTATGACCGCCAAAAAAGAGGAAAAATATCTCTTTAATTTGATTCAACAGCTATCTGCGGAACCATTAGGCAAAAATTATGAGATACGAGTACGACGTATGTTTACGAACGCACGTTGCTGTAGCATGGTCAAAAACATGTTTTTCTGCTTTCACATTGTGACGTTACGGACTCGGAGGATTCTATTCGAGGCCTCGACCTATTACTCGGATTCGTCGAATCTCTGTAATGCCGGACTCGTCTCGTCCTTAGTAATAACAAGACATTTATTTAACTGGTTGTTTTTTATTATACCGGTTGGCCACTATCTGCCATCTTGTGGGGGTTTACTGCAAACATAACTGTCGTCTCCAGAAATTATTTGACATGGAGCCATGGTAATTTCATTTGAGTTCTAATTGTAGGCTTACTATACGTCCCGTTTTAAGCGTTACATTCCCACGTTTCAACGTCTTGTCCCGGCGTCCCGACCGCTACAATTTGGTCGCGAGCTATGGGGTCCCGACCACTGCGTTAGAAAAAGGTATTGCTTACCCGGAATATAACAGAAGCTCAGCTCACGAGAAGCATTTGTTTTAAAATACCATCAGTAAAAACGGCGAACTGATTTTCACTTGCGGTTTGCTCATTAGATAACCCACTGAATAACGGCCTCAAATTATAATTTAGGTTCCAATACTTATTTTCGTGACTTCAAAGCGTGGCACCTCCAAACACAACTACCCCTTAGCTGTGATTTTGTAACCTTACATTCTCTTTTCAAATATACGGTTAAATTCGAAAAATAGAAAAAAAATGACGTTAACGATACAAATAATTCGAATTTAGATTTTTTATGTACAGCAAAGGAAAGAAAGAATAATTTAATAGTCAGCCCTTTTCAAGCATTAAGGATTTACTTATTCGCCCAAGCATGCTTTTTTGTAGATAACACCTTCTTCAAAAAGACGTTGTTCAATGTTATATTTACGTAAACTTCAGAACAGGACTAATTAGTATTGATTTTACATCTGATACGTTACGGAAAACAACGAAACAAACCGAATAACGAATTCACCTCCAGTAAGTGGGCTAGCGCTGCGCTGCACAGCAACGAAAACATGCTAATTGGTAATGTTCGTGCATTATGCTGGACGGCTGAACGCCAATGCGGGACTTTTGGCTGACTTGTCAGGACGGCGGGACTGTCCCGCCCAAAGCGGGACGTATGGTAAGCCTACTAATAAATTATGTGATCGGTGTTTCAATTGTTGTGAAAATTAAATATCCGGTTCTAGTGAATACCGAATGAGAAAAAAGTTACAATTGAACATGATATTATAAGTGTGATATATATGTGTGAAAATAAATTACAGCACTATATAAATAAGGAGATTCGATTCGAACTATTACTGATAGATAATTCTATATATATATATATTATATAAAAGGTATATATTGGCGTCATTTAATCAATTGGGATGCAATCAATTGGGATCAGCTTTAAATGCTAGTTTTGTCATTTGGATGAAAGAATTCCAATTTCTTCTAATTGTGAATAAATAGGAAGTGCGTTAGTCCATTTGCTTACGTTGTAACATACTCTAAACCTAAAGCACGTGATAGTTATTTACATGAAGCCAGGCAAACAGGCACGAATAGAAGCGTAAATTTATACTACTACGAAAGAAGCATCTGAGCGTTTGTAAACAAAAAGATAATAATTGGTGCGCACTGGTAATTACACACACAACTTTCTTCTACCCGCTGTCATTTGTTAGTCTACTTCTACAATCTACATGTTAGCAAGGGATTGGACAAGATATACCGGTAAATATTACTTTTTTTTACAATGCTTCGAGGTTGCTTTATTTGTTTGTATTATCCCATGATTGTGTACAAGGGTATACTTGGTCAGAGACACAGAATCGATAGATGTCTTTTTAAGTTAAAAATTTTAACTTTCACGTTTCTTAACTGATCGTGATCACCCCTGCGACTCCGCTTGCACCATATTTTTTTTTTGCCTGACTGCCGTTATGGCTAATTGAGGTTTTGTTGCTCTCTATTTCATCTCATCAATCCATACCTTTCTGCTCGACGATAACGTCCGTTACTTGTGTCACGGATTTTATTATCCGTATGTTTTAGTTTAATTTGTCTTTTTATATTTGCCTATATACCAGGGGCGTGCCAAACTTTTCTGCTGCCCGGGGCGAGTTTCTGATAATGCTGCCCTTATCCCTAACTTAAAAAATATTTCGTGGGTTAAACTTAAACAGAATATAGATGTTGTTATACATGAAAATAAATAATTAAAACGTCAGTAAAAGTGAAATGTTTGTATTAATCATTAAATTAAACAACACGTATACGATTGAACTCGTGTATTAACAAAAAGCAAGTCGCTTATTTTTATGTCAAATCGCCACTTAGCTGTTAACAAATGTGTGAACGACAGCTTCCTCCACCTCGCTCATCAGGAATTTCTTTTCGATGCTTATCGAAGATAAATGAACAGGCGCTAATTTGACATCGAATACCTCAAATATATTTTTATCTGTTCCAACTTGGAGAAAGATCGTTCGCAACTAGCATTTGAGTATTCGATTGTAAATAATAAACAATAGGCAATGCAAGAGCCAACTTCCCAGCTAGGCTCAATCAAATAAGCAAAAGAAATCTTTAGCATTTTTTTTTGTAAAATCCCTGTTTCCACTTCGAAAAAGCGACGTAACAGTATACGATTTACCAGCCGAACAGACAGAATTTCTGGCATGGTTGTAAACATGACCTCGTTTTCCCGTGCAATTTGTTTATGTTTCGGAAATTTCAGTACGAATGAAATATAACTTATTTAGTCTTTTTATATTAATTACAGTAATCAAAAGTTAACTAACAGTTGAGGTTGCGTGAAACTAACTACCTTTCCTTGCTCTATATGCCTTTGCGCAGGTGGATGCGTATGCGTATTACGCAAGGATGACGTAGCAAGAGTGTAAATGGCTATTCTGTTTAATTCAAGAGTCTTGCTGCACACTAACACAAATAGATTTCTGTAACGTTTCGATAGGTGAATTGAAGACCTTTAGGAGAAGTCCCTGTTGCTACGAAGTGCTTTAGGCTCCGCTTGTGGTGTTGTAGTCTGGTTTTTCCGTGTAATTTTCTTCAAATTGTTGAAGGACCTTTTGTGATGTTTGTAGGTTCGACGAAATGTTACAGAAATATTTTTGTGTTCGTGTGCAGCAAGACACTTGAATTGAATAGAATAATCAAAATTCAGTTTATAAATAGCTGTGATATAGATCGGTACTTTTTAATAACAGGGTTGTCTGTTTGGAATTGAAATGATTGTTTGAGACATATATATCAACCAGTTTAAGACGTAATAAAGCGAAACCACCCTTAAAATGAGCACCAAAAATGTTGCAAATAAAAAATCTAGGTAGAGACGGTCGGAGAAACATCCATTGTTGACTCATCATTACCACAGTCAGTCGCACAATACTAAACACATAATGTCAGTTTTTGATTAATAAAACAAACAAAAAAAATATGTATGTCTTATGTGTGTAATAACGCAGACTCAACATCTTGGTTCTGCTGCCCCCTACAACGTGCTGCCCGGGGCGGCCGCCCCATACTTTTCGAGGACCCTTAATTTGGATATACTTCATCCGGGTCCGGTTACTATGAGACTCCGACCACCATCGAGTCGTGAGAAAAAAGAGCTTCACCCTCTTCTTCGCTCTGCTGGGTGTTGGGTGTTGGACGTATTTTACTGTGTCCACTGTTTCAACTGTAAAGCTGCCTCATTATAGACCACAAATCCATAATCTGAGTCTTATGATTCTTTCAACGCACGGAATAAAAACCTCTCTGTGACAATTGCGAGCACGCCAGGATAACATCTTTAGACTGTGACACTTGCTCATTGAATTAACAAACGTATAGTTGACTTTGCAGCTCATGTAGTCGTCTGCTGTTTGTAGACTAGGCGAGCATATTTAATCGTATAACCGTACTGTTGCAGAACGTTTGAAATGCCGAGCTGACTTCACTTCCAGCGTTGGGGGTTGTTTACAGCGAGGTCGTCCAAATCGTGGCCCGCAGGCCACATGTGGCCCGCCGAAGGTTTCCGAGTAGCCCGCGCGGTATTATTCGAAGCCCGATGTCATTCACAAATCTGAGCCACTATTGAATCCTCTAGAAAAAAATTATTCCTCGTCGTTCAAATGCGCGAGAAGCACCGCCCAGCAATTGAAAGCTTAACTCTCTTTTCAGGCGTTATTGCTGAAGAGAGATATTTGAATTTATTTTTATCGTCTGCCATGTATTTCCATCTGTTTTCCTTTTTTTTTTTCTGTGCAACTAGAAGAGGCAGATTTCACGACCTCGATATTTTTGAAAGCGCTTACTTCTACGAGCAAGTTTTTTTCACGGATGAACCATGTCAAATCCCCCGTGAGATCACTGATTTCCAACAGTCATGAAAAATTTGCTTCGCATTTGCTAAATCGTCCATCGCACCGAATATTGACAAACTTGTTGGGTAAAAGCAGTGCCATACTTCACATTAAAATATTTATGTGTGGTTAAAACGTTCAACTTTATTGTATTCTAGTATTTTCATTGTTCTTATAATTTTGGTGTGAGGGTTTTGTTTGTTTTTCATCAACCTGTAGTCGGTGTAGTGAAATATGGAACATAACTACCATGACAAGTGGTCCGGGCAATCATTCGTAAACTACATGTCGCCCTTCGGCCATGAAGGTTGGACAACCCTGTTTTATCGCGGGCTAAGTCGTCCCAAACAGATTCTTTTTTTTAAATTCACAGTAACTTGATATATCCATGGCTCAAAAACTGTTCATTTCGTCTGTATTTTCTTATTAAATGCAACCATTTGAAGTAATACTATTTCATATACCAGATCTTAAAAACAAAAACTTCTAGTTTGTGTGTTCCCCGTTTGATGTACTGTACGCTATGTAGGTGATAAGATAAATTTGAACTTCATGGATACAATTGTCTTCGCGTCAAAAATTATAAAAAAATCGCACAAAACCGAATATTATATCAATTCCTACAATTTTATAACTTGTCTTCTTCGAAACTTGGATTAGTTTTTTCACAAGTTGAACTTATTTCAGGAACTCCAAATCGGAAAAACCTTCTCACTCGGTCGGGAAAACATGAATTATCTATGAATGGAATGAATAATTTTGGATTCGCCTGGCTAGGCTCGTTGGGCCCTGTAGAAAAAAAAACATGTTTAAAAATTTGTTAAGAGATCCGATCGATATGACCTATGACCTTGCCTGATACTCACCTACAATAAAAGATGTCACGAGACCAACCAAAATTACGGTCAAAATCACGAAAAATATGAAGCAGTTGAAATTGATATTGTAAATGTCTTGAAGAACAGAATGGCTAAACGAGAAAGAAAAATAAGATCGAGATTTATGATAATATATATAAAGATGTTAAAACATCTTTTTTGGGTGAATATTAAAAAAAAGTATTTGAACTTTTGTGGCGAGAATGGAATTGTCCTATTTTTTATTGTTTTGTATTTTATTTAGATTTCTTGTCTAGTTATTGCTAATGCATTGGTGTGTGGAGTCTGAGCCCTAATTCGCCCGATAGTCAAATCCTGTTACTTGACTCCAACCACCACTGCATATGTGAATTGGCGCGGCGGAGTGGCTCAACGGGCTAAGCGTTAGGAATACGCTCGCCACCGCACTTCTAATTACTCTGCGTGGGTTCGCAGGTTCGAATCCCATGCAGGGATGATTATGTGCGAGAGGATTGCTGGACTCCTCGCCGTCGTTGGGTGGTTCACGTAACCGCTGGTCGGTTACGGCTTCCTCCACCACCAAGTCCATGCTTCTGAAAACAAAAGGATACAGTAAAACCATGCCCATACCCGACTTGGAATGGTAACCGGACGAGAGGCCGTCGTGCATCGTGAATTTCGAATCTATTTGTGTGGCTTTGCAGCACACGAGATCTTCTAAACTAATTATTACCAGACTATATTAGTGGCGAGCACCTACCGGTAAGTCGTACTGCTGCACTTTTATTCCTGTAAGTTTCATTTTAAAAGACAAACGAATGATATCAGATCATATTTAAAGATTGTTGGAAATTGACTTCATTATTTTAAACAAAATCAATTCTTTTATTGCACATGTCTATTTCCACCTGCATCATTTTTGAGGAGTGTATGTGACCATATAGGCTTCTTCCAATACACCAAAAATACAATTAACAAACACTCAATCTGGACTACTTATTAAAATCACCTTACCCGTCATCATATGGTGTTGACATTGTTGCAATTGGCGTTATAGTGTAGTTTGACATATAAGAAGTTGTGGGTAATGACGCATTTGTAATTTTGCACATGTCAGTAGAAGTCGGTGGAATATTGAATTGGTACGGAATCCTCAAAAACCTGCTCCCGACAAACAGAAAAGTCCCAAGCAATAAACTGATTACGAATCCGACAGTTGCACCCTGTTAAATATGATAACACAAGTGTGCAGTCGATGTCCAGCTGTTACAATTTTTGCATTTTGAAATATTTGACTAAGTTCCAACTTTGTCATAAATATTCTTTCAATTCTGCTTCTCACTTGAAAACAAAATTCGTCTTCGAGGCGTTGACGAGAAAATCTCAATTTAATTTTGATAAAAAATCGACTCCCGGACGATAAAATGTCTGAAATTGCTATTACGGACATTTGAAAATTGCAAGATTCTTCTTTAATATCTTGTGTGATATTTTATTCCCCAGCATAAAAAAGAATATGGCTGAAAGTTGCCCGTGGTAGTCGGAAAGTTTAGTGATGATCTAATATTTCACACGTCGAAATGTATTTAAATTAGCGCAATAAACTACAGTATCAACGATAGTTTCTGACATGTTGTATAAATCGAGTTAGTAACATTTGTGGTAATAGTGCCATGTTCTTAATATACATGCTGCAATAACATGAGAAAAAATATTGAGAAAATGCGGTCTTCAAATTTGAGTGACGTATGGATTGTTTTACCACATAAAGTTGAAAATAAATAAAAGCACAATATGCTCAAATTAATTTCATGCAGAACCTAGTGAATACAGTTAATATCATGTTTGGTACGAATGATACCAATTCACACTCAGGTTGAGTGTGACTTGATGTTCTGGACTATATATATATATTAATTTAATTACAACTGAAAGTAAAATGATTCTTACCACTGAATTAGCCCAAGGAAAAAAGAAGCCCAGGATGAAAGTGCCGATGATTGGCCCATTTGTCAGGGCACTAAAGCTGAACAGCAGTGGTACAATATTGGATTCTGACAGTGATGCTGCGAAGGCAACGAGCATAAGCATAATGCCCAGGACGACAACTATAAAAATAATTTTAAAAATAAGATCTCCACAGCTAAGTTACAATTAAACTATCTTATAACTATTATGACGCAATAGGTTTCAATCCGGGACGGCTGTTTGGTAGAGTTTCGGTTCAGATTTGAGTACAAGCGAGAAAATATGCAACGAATTTTAAAAGTAATAAAACAAATTTAATTCAAAATTGTATGGCAATTTTCAGATAAAATCCAACCTCAAAAAATATTTTTCAGTGTTTCAAAACGTTTTGTATGTAGTACGATGCTTTATTTTACACGCCTGTTTCTTTTTAATTCTCAGATTCCACGAGGTGGGGCTCTACTAGGATATTTCTTATACATGAAGTCATAACCGTTACCAAATGTTTTTCCAAGTATAATCTTCATTGTATCGGAATTTGCAACTTTCTCGGAACACGGAGTAATGAAATCTTCTACAATCACCATTGAAAACGAGTTAATACCGGAAGATATTGTGCTGTAAATATGATATATATATATATATTATATTTTCATTCAGTCTGACTTATCCACCACAGTTGGAGAAAATCTGCTTATGTGCCTGACCATAGGTGGATGAAATTGAGATATGTCTCAGCTAAAATAAGTAACTCAGTCCAACCGTAAAGTTTGATATTTTGTGATAAAACTGTAGTTTTATCCGACTTGATTTGGTAACATTTAAGTTAAAGGGCAATTTTTCGAAACTTTGACTTGAAGCATGTTTATAAATAGCTTCTAAAGAAGATACTTGGGCGCTCCAGAAGTGTGTGTACCAATATGAAGGGAACTAATTTTGTTCGCCCACTTTACATCAAGTTGTGTAAAGGGCGGAAGCCTATGGGGGTGGGGGTGTATATTCACTTGGATAACACAGACAGTGTCCGAACTCTTTAATAAAACTAAAATAAGGAAAATCTGAATAAAATGTTGGACTAACCCTAACCAGGTACACACCCTACGGGAGTACCGAGTTTCGTTTTGCCAAGAGACGAAAACACAGAGAATAATAAACGACATTTAAAACTTTACCCCGGTCGAACACCCCTGAAATAGCGCGAACGGTTTTTCATGATACGATTGAAATCAACGAAGCCAAATTGAAAAGTAATACGTATTATAGATATAAATAATAATAATAACTTTTTTAAATGACTGGGACAAATATTTGCTATTCAATTACACCCAAAATTTAGTGTTGGCTTGGACTGAATGTATAACCAAAAGATTTCTGATTTGAAATTTGAAATGGAAAACCTCAAAGATCCACTAAAAACAGCAGCCACAAAAATTCCCGACATGGCAGGAATATCTGCAAACAATTTTAATGTCATGTACGGAACTCCTTGATCAATTTCCTCAATCTCCCCTGACTTAACTGGATCACAACCTTCAAAGTAAGCATACATCACCAGCCCATTTCCAACGTTAATTAAGAATATCAACGATGTTGGAACGATGTAAAACAGGGCGGCACTGTAAAAAAAGGGAGAAATTATCACTTTTTTATTTAATAAAATAGAGAAAAAAAAAGAACATTTGAAATTATGTTGACATGTTTTTACAGTAGTGTGCGTCACTGTAAACTATCTGTCTTGTAAAGATGATGGTTTTCGGATTTTATAAATACGATATTTATACTTTAACTCCATTACGAATCAGAACCAACGGCCTAATTGACCACAAATCTTTCAAGATTATAATTTCATAGTCGCAACACAATCAAGCATATTGAACGTTCCCGATATTCATTATTGTTTATATATTGATGCAGAAAATCCATTCCGTCTACTGTGAACTGTAGATTAGCTTGTGGCATTATCTTCTATCACGTGAGATTGCGAAAGAAAATATTGGCTTTTCACCTCATGTTATATGCGGTATATAAAATGCTTGTTCACGGCGGTGAATTTTCTGCGTCTCATCCGACGCATTTGGTCATGATTGTCTATAATGTTAACGGGTTGGTCCTAATCGGGGGAGGGCCATAGGGATGGCACGTTGTAGGGAGCAGCAGAACCAAGCTGTAGAGTTATTGAGTGTTTTTCTCGATGTGTTTTTATTAGTTAAGTAAGAGCTGTCATTACGTTAGGGTTAGCCTTGTGCGACTGATTGTGGTGATGGTGAGTCAGCAATGACTGAGTGCACTTTACCGCCAATGTGCTCGTCTAGTCATTGCGTGATTTAGCGTAGTTGACGACGCTTTCCTTCGTAATGACGACAGTGTCTTGCATGTTATAATTTGTTTTATCCGCCAAATCAATTTTGAAGTTAGGTACAAAAGGCTTCATTATCAGAAACTTTCCCTGGGCAGCAGAATAGTTTGACACGCCCTTTGTTGTATTATATACCTTCATATGAAAAAAAAAACTGATCTTTAAATCAAAATACATACTATTGGGCATGCCGCAACGACTTGCAAGATTGATACCGTTGCACTATTTGTTGTGATAAACCTTGACTATTTAATTTTTGTCCAACTCCTCCCAGAAGCAACGCTAGAGGAGAAATACGAGAGATAAGGCCGTAATCAAACCTGTAATATATTAGGTTTTCGTTATAGCTATGTTTGCGATTCGTGGACTTGATATTTCTCATGCGTGGGAAATTAAATGGAGAATATAAACATGGTTGACTTGGCATGAAATAAATATGAATTGAATCAACAATGATAATGTAATACAAAAATAAAAGAACAATGATTATCGCTATAGTGATCATCTTAGATAAAGATACAACTCGTTGCAACTTACAAATGAAGTTTATTTACTAAACCCTCTGGTGAGTATATCTACATAATTACAGACAATTATATAATCGCAACGTACCTGCCAGCAGTATATCGTTCTCCTCTCTCAAGAGCCTCAAATAAGGAACCAAATCCTCCGATTTTTATTAGGCCTTGAATGAAAACCGAAATGATTCCGATAATCATGATTCCTGATTGAAACACATCAGTCCACATAACAGCTTTCATTCCACCCTTGAACGAAATATGACCATTGTTACCATAAAGCAGGGTTGTCAACATTTGTCGAATGGGACCTCCTGAAGTATGCGCACCAAGATGGCGCACAATCTGAACTCAGGTTAGGGTTCAGGTGATACGACATCTTGGTGCGCATACTTCAGGAGTACCGTCGAATGTGTTGATGTGAACACACTGGCCAGGTAAACTGAGCAATATGAATTGAAATATGGAGTAAAAGTTAGTAATAGAATACCAGTATTACCGGGGTACTCCCGTAGTATATGTACCAGGTTAGGGCTGGGCCATACTTTTATTCATATTTTCCTTATTTTAGTTCTCTTACGGGTTCGGGGACTGTCTGTGTTAGCCAAGTGAATTTTGCCCCTGCCTATATGTTTCAGTCCCTTTACACAACTCGATGTAAAGTAGCCAAACAAAATTAGTTACCTTCGTTTTGTTGCATATACACTTCTGGAGCGCCATTATCGGTATATGTATGACTACTAACCCCTCGATCACAAACAAGGGCTTTCGGTAAAGTAAGAAGTATATATTTAATCAAGAGGGACCAATATACAAATACAGTGCCACATTATTTTTTTTTTTGGTTTGAAGAAAGTCTGTTTTGCTAGTACTACAAGTTGTATGGAAACTCAAACACATATCGAGGTGTGTTTTACTCGTCTTACACTTGTCCCGCGTTGCTACAATTGTCACACACGTGTACCTCTTCTCACACTTTTGTAAGATAGGAAAGATATTTATTGTAGAACAAATGTTTTATGAAGTGAATTTGAGTAGACACGACAAATTAGGCGCATCCAGTATTAATCACATTCAGAGCTTCGCCACAACTTACCAGTGCCGTATAGAAAGTGCAGATCACGCTTGTCAAAACTATGCTCCAATTCAGTGAAATTGGCGTTACTGCATTTAATACTGTAGCAGGTGCATATACGACTAGTCCCATGTAGAAAATCTAAAATAAAAAATTTCATGAATGTATTGTTAATGAAATAATAATGATATATATAATCATTTATTAAAAATTGGAATAAAATTGCTGCTGCATTCAAAATCAATGCTAAATGTGCTTTTCATTATTGACAATTGATGCATTTTTCATATCATTTATAGCAGTTATTACCAAAAAATAGGTGGAAATTGGTACGCGGTTACTAGAACGAATTACAGTATAAAATAAAGAATAACAAAGGAAACTGACCGTTGAAATGGTGTTCGTAATAGCCGCTATTTTTGCCACATATGTATTGAATCGTATTTGGAGATACTGAAAATAAGTGAATATTCGAATTCTGTATATCATATAAATCTTCACACTTATCAGTAAGCATAGAAAAAAGCAATATATATATTTCTAAAGTAATTGAGGTCATTTAACAAGTCTGAAACATTTTGGTTGACATTTTAACAAACTCGAAAGCATGCATGCATTGGCATTGTTACTCAGCAACTGCCCCAATGCAAATAAAAATTCACTTTTAAAAATTTGCTATCAATTAAGTGGCTTCTATTTGTCTACATGCCCAAATATTTGTCCAGAACAATGGCGTGAAACTCGTGGTCCAAGCGAAGAATGGGGAATAAAATATGAATATTAGATTATCATGCTCTTCAAAAAATATGTAAAATTTTAGGATACATATAATATGTTCTATTTTATAAATAAAATTACCTCAAATATAGTGCCGTGGTCCATTGTATAAAATGCCGGCATGAAGTAAAAAAATGAGAGAGTAAAAGCTAAAAAGCTAGTAATAGGATACCAAATTGCAACATTTCCTACAATGTATGCCTCTGTGGGTTCGGCTATAACTGCAATTGATGACTGAAATGTTACAGCCATAGACAATCCGACAGCCACCTGAAAAAAATGATAGAAACTTAGCTTTTTAAATTTTAATTCAAATGATATATTTATCATAGTTTGCTGTCACTTGCATTGTCAGTGCAAACGTTCTTAAATAACGGCATGAAATCAAAGTAAGTTCTTCATGTCCGTGTATTTTAAAAAAATTCACAAAAATCATATTTTAAGAGATAGCTGAGTAATGATTTTGGTGTCTTAGTGCAATAAATTTCGGGCAAAGTAGGTTTGCGGTAATCGAAATCGAAGTAGATCTAACTGACTAAATAAATTATTTAAGTCGTTTTTGTCTTTATATCTTTCATACCGGGTGCATTTGCTTTCCTCCGAAGAAGTAAGTACTCATTGAGGAATCTTTTCTATCCTTGTATGCAAAATAGATACCAATGATACACGATGCCAGAAGCACGACTGTGTAACAAAAAATTAGAAGAATTGTCGTTGTATATAACAGATGGATAGAATACTGTTGTGGGTTTACGGTATGCATCGACTCGGGTATGCGGTTTCAAATATAAACTATTGCATACAAAATGTGGCGCTTCAGAAGTGTGTGTATCAATATGAGGTAACTAATTTTGAAGGTACCTAATTTTGTTCGCCTACCTTACACCAAGTTGTATAAAGAGACTGAAGGGGGTATATTCACTTGTCTACACAGACAGCCCCCGAACTCGTAATAGAACTAGAATTTTGAAAAAATCGGATAAAATTATGGCCTAACCCTAACCTTGCCACATATATTACGGGAGTACCCAAAATAAATGTTGGATACAGAATGATTACAATATTTAAGAGTCATTGTAGTAATCTCACCTGCGAAGGCAATAAAATCGTCTATTCCAAAATTATTTTTAGGAGAATTCTCGTCCATATTGTTCCAAGAATGAAAAATATTTATGTTGTTACATTAAATAAACATTTACTAAACAATAAGAGCAAAACAATAGCACCCTCGTTTTAAATTCAAAACAGTTGATTCCAACCGTTTATTTTAATTATACAAATTGTTTTTTTTGCACTTCATAATTAGTTACCTCGTTTTTTGCAACAATCACTCGTGACAATTGTTAATTTCCAAACATCCATAATTAACCCTTAAAATTTACCCTACCAACAAGCTATATATATATTGAATGTCATACATTTGAATTCTTATTGTGCAAAAATTTATTTATTTTTATTTCAGTATAATTAATATTATGGGAGAAAAAATACTATTCTGCTGATCTCAATATTTCTGTCAAACATTATAAAGTTTCCCGCAATTGTATGATGCTTCTTTTCATTGCGGCCTAGTCAACCTGTGGGCCATTAAAACAACGAATAGTTACTGACAGAATTGGTCTTAAGTAATAAACTCGAACACAATAGGTCACACAAAAGTCGTATCCTGTATAAGGAGAAATAGCTGAACACTCTTAAAGTTTTTAAATATATAAGTTGTTATGTTAGACTAGGGTAGCTAATAACTTCAGAAAACTCTCTCGAACATTTGATTTCAAAGAAATAGAGTATGAAATGATGCGCTTAATAAAGAACTACAATTCACAGTAAAAGCGGTAATTTGCGTGTATATTTTAATTGTTCCTGTGTTAGTAGTTAGCTAGTCGGCCAAGCGAATAGGTCACACGGCGATATAAGAATTAATGCGTGAGAAGTAAATCTATCTTGCTTTATTTGCATCTCTGATTTAAATTTACAATATCAAATATATATTGCATTAGTAAGAATGCTGTAATACCTCCTTCAATCTTGATACCACGTTATGATATACAAAATCATACACAAAATGAAAATGAGCATAATGCGCAACTGAAATAGACGACCATTATGTATTTAGAGTTTCAACGTTTTTTTAAGAAAAAAACTTCACCAGTGTCATCGCACGACACGAGCCTGTTCACCGCATATCGTAGTAAAACCATTCATAATACTGTCTACCTTTGCTGCATGCTTTTCTTTATATCTGAAATCCTTTTGACTGCAAATCCGCACAATTCAAACATCAATGCAAATGAATTGAAAATTAGCTATACAATAGCGCGTCGCTTCCCTGACAAAAGACATTATTTTATTGTGATGACGATAATTTATATGTGCGTGAAATAGCATCGACAAAATCAAAATCCTAAACATTAAAGTTAGCGGTATAACGTATGCTTGCTACAACGCCGATGATCATGTTTATCCTCCTTTGGGATTACGTTTTTTATTTATTCACTTTTTTTTTAATCTCCCAGGAAACGATATTTAAAATGATGGCCATTGGGACCACCGGCTAAAGTCTTTTAAATTCAAGCGGTATACATCATGCCCAAGAGTGTCAATCAGAGTCGCCTATGTAGATGTTGTTCTAGCTAGAGCGTAGTCTGACATTTTTTGTTACATATTTTAAAATATGTCGCACTTTATACCGTAGTTGAGCTTAAAATTTGACAAACCAACCTTCAAACCCAATTCTCGAGTAAAATATTAAGTATATATATGAACAGAAGTACTATTTGAATATATTAGAATGCAGTATTTTGTTATATATCTTGTCAAATTGAAAATTGCCATATCTGAAAAAACTCGCACGAAGTAAATTCGGTACTCTCGTAATATGAGAACCAGGTTGGCGGAAACCGGAACGTAGTATGTGTACCATGTTAGGGTTAGGCCATAATTTCAGGTACAAATACTACGGGAGTCACTTGAAAAGTTCGAGAACTCGTAATAGACCTAAAATATGAGAAATTGGAATATATTATGGGCTAACCCTAACCTGGTACACATACTATGCTCAGGTTTCCGCCATCTTGGTTCACATACGACGGGAGCGCCGTAAATTCAGTAGTACAATACAGTGAATGTCAGATAACAAATAGTGTTTTTGTGACTGGAAAGTTGTGGTTAACATGTCGAATACCTGTTAGCTGTAAATTTGGAGTGTTTTCTCTCGAATTTGATTCAGAGGATAACTGCATTTTGGAAATACCAGACAAAAAATTCACTCTGATTCATTTTATTTCAAATAAACACTGGTTACTTTAGTTGAATATTTTATAGAATCTGTCATTTCTAACACGATTTCTAAATCTAGAAAATTTAAAATATGACTCTGACTCGAATGTTAGCAATAATATTTTCTAACTTCGCGACTCGCGATGCAGTTTTCTTTCGTATCCAATTTTATAAGTTTTTGAAATGCATGTTCCGCATGTTGGCGCTGCCGGGTATGAAATATAAGCGTTTCTTTGCGCACGATTTGATAAGTTTTGGCGAGTCAATTTTTTACTGAAGAAGATTTAAAATATATCTGTATATCTTAAATATTGAATATGCCAGGCTTCAAAAGACGTCATCTTCACGCAAATACATTAGGGAAGTGCGAGGGGGTGGTGGCTTGCACAACCAGCCAACGTCTGGCGTTTGAACGTTACTTGGATACCCAGACGAAACAAATATTCGTTACTCAAAGGATGTTTTTCAAGTGTGCGTGAAAGTTTTATGTCTGTACGTAAAAAGCGTGTATTTACGGTGTCAGTACATTCGAGGCATACAAAAGACAGAAAGCGCAGACAATCGGTCGACATTTGTTGAATAAACGTTACCCTGGGTGCGAGTAAAAAACAATCATTCGCCAAATGGGGATTTTCGAATGCTTTTGTGTCAGTGTTTCTGCGTGAAAATGCGTCCATGTTACGCAAATACGTGTGTGACATTTAGCTGAATACATCAATAGTAGGTCGACGTTTTGTTTTGTATTTTAATTTAAACGTTATCATAGCACCATTCACAAAATGGGCGTTTCACGAGTGTGTGTGCGCATCGTTTCTGCGTGATAATAAGTCCAGATCACGTCTATCATTTCAGTTCATACGAGGGACTGAAGACTCAATCAGTCGACGTCAGGTGTTTTGAAATGTTCCGGGTATCGACAAACAGACATTCATCCGTTAAGTTGGCTCCAGTGCGCGATCTTCCCCTGTGTTAAGATCTAATACTACCGTGTTTCCCAGAAGATAAGACCTATCCTGAATTTTATAAAGGATTTTAATATAAGCCCTTCCTTTAAAATAAGACCTAGTCAATACCGCGCATTTTTTTTGACCTAGTCGATAGCAAAAAATATTAAATATTTTCTTTAAATGATTGGTAATCTATGTTTTGCAGTTATTTTGGAGACTGAATAAAAATGTGTTATTTATAAATAAATGGATATCGGTTTTTATATTTTGTATATTTGAAAATCTCGTAATTCTCTACTTTGTAATTTTGTTTTTAATAAATGAAAATATAGGAAATCCCCCGAAAATAAGACCGACTGTTATTTGTCGGAAGAAAATTGAAATAGGACCCAGTCTTATTTTCGGGGAAACATGGTATTTGCTTGACCCAGGTTATGTCCTAATCAGTTAGCGAAACTAATTATCACATTTTAATGTATAGGTGAATTCGAACGTTTTAATTGAATGGAAAGTTCTTGGGAATATCCCAAATACACCTTGAATTCAAAACTGTTTCGTTGCTATTCGAATTGATTTACATGACGTCAATTGCAGTCATACTTCCTAAACTTCAATGATAGTGAATTCTGAACAAAAATAAGAACGATTATGAAAACTCCGTGCTTGCGAAATGATTTTGATTGAAGATTACGTCATTAAAAGCGAATTCATTAGCTTTATTATATGCAAAATTGAAGTCATAGAAACCAGGTACTTAGTAGCTTTGAGCTATGTCGTCATTCGAAAACAGATTGTCAATACTTCTCACGTATCATTTTTTGTATCCTGCCGTAAATATAAATTTATTTTATGGAAATCGTATTAAATTTACTCTTTCGGGAAATAGGGTTCTATTTCCACATAGGCACAGCTTATCTATGTTGGTACAATTTTGCTTGTTGCGTCATATAAGTGAAAACAAAATGAAAAATTTTATTCTGAGATGGATCCTTGTATCATGGCTATAAGTGTAGGATCATTTTTGTCATTGCGTGGTACGTTTTTCCAGCATGGAGTAGTATTAAATAAATATTTCTAGATCCCAATTCCATCATTTTTTTGGGCTGATCTGTAAACATTTTCGCCATTGACTTGTACACGGAACAAACTAAATAGAACCATTGCAAAGAAGTATCTATTTGGTTCCTACTTCCGGTATTATGTCATCTCCGCGATTGCTTGAATCGATGACGTACAATTCTTTACATTACCGAAAATGGTTATAACTTAAATTTATATTCACAAATATTTTACTCTTTCGTGAAGTAAAAGAAATTTGGAACAAGCAAACTGATTCAATTTGCATTGAGGTAAGATATATTCATATAGAAACGCTTCTACTTTCGGTTGCAATGTTCCATTGCTTCCTGATTTCGACCTTTCTGGACTGAAATAAAATGAATAAGTTAGATGTTCCATTCGATCTTTGAAACGTTCAGGCGCAGAAAATGGTAATATTGCTATACTTTGTGTAATAATTTGATATTCATTCACTTTTGTTCATTTAAATAATAAAGTAGAATGAAACAAATTTTGAATCAATTCAAAGCCCACCGCGCTGAGTAATTTTAAAATCAAGAATGCATTCAATGACACATGAATAAATCGAAAATAACTTTTTTGTCTAAATCGTGATTGACCTACATTCAACTAAAATTTTGAATGAATCCTGGCTTGGTATGGCCAAATTTATTTTCAGTTCATGGACATGTAAAAATGATCACAATTTTGTTATATATAATTGAACTGAACCATAAAATTATGAAGAAACGATAACACAACATGTAATTTATTTACTAAGTTTGTATCATAGATAGATATTGCTGTTTGGGCATTCAAGCCTTCTCTTATATACACTTTTTGTAACATTAAATATTAGGACTGAATTCCAACAAGCTATTTTAAACTGGAATATGGAAACTTTGGGTAATACCCTGT